CACATTTACCCACTCACACAGCACTCTATATGTCTCTCTACAAAGCTAACCCAGACAGATTAGGCCTGAGTCACACTACAAGATTTTAAAGCAGTCGGACGATTTTCAAAGACTGAGAGAGCCCACACACGAGGATAAAAAATCCTGGATCTACCAGGTTTGGTCCTACAGTGTGTGGTGTACAGACACACAACAAGAGACAACACACCACACATGAAAAGATACTTCATTCATGAACATTCAGATGTCAGATTTTAAATCACGCGAGACTTCCTGAAATCACGCGAGAATTCAGATGTCCAGGAAAAATCTGATGTGACCTCCAGAGAGACGTGAGTTCAGAGTTAATAAACATTTGCAACAAGGATGTGGATCGTTTGGACTATTTTTACCAGAGGAAAAACAATTCCAGGACTTTTAACATCCAGCAGACTTTCTGCTGAGTCATGACAGTTTTTTGTCTTCTGTATTTTGGATTCACCTCTCTTTCTGATTGGCTACACGACTCATTCACAGTCTGAGAGCTCAGGTGAACACTACACACACTGTGATATCAGGCCAAAAAATCAAACATGGTGAATATCCCCGATTTGAGGTCGGAGCGGTCCCGACGTCCTTCCGAGCCGACTAGATCACTCTTAACTCACCACCCACAGCAGGAATATCTGCTCAGATTATCTTTAGAGCCATCATGATAATCTGGACTTCCTTAAGCTTGTCAGAAGGACAAAAATTGGCCTGATTTTCTTGTAGTGTGACTCAGACCTTAGTCTGTCTAATAGACTAACCAGTGCTTAAATCCCATTCATACACTGACAGGAAACACATCGTAGGCAGTGGGGTTCAGTGTCTTGCTCAGGGACACTTCAAATAGCAGTTAATTGAACTGCCAACTCCTGTATTAAAGGATATCTCCCTTAACCAGTTAGTCACAACCACCCCAMCAAAAAAGCTCCATCAATGCAGAAACTAAGCAGGAGTTCAGTGTCTCAGCAGACCACCTTCCTTACCACAGGGACTTGATTTAAATAACTGAGTTTATGACAGCTCTATTTTTTAGGTTCGGGGCCTTGAGCTCTGCTGACAAACAGCCAGCCCTTCAGGGCTGATGTAACGCTCTCTGAGCTTCACATTATGAGATACTCACTAATGCTTACAGGACTTATTTCAGATTTCAAATAGGCAGACCTGTGTAGACAAATGAAAAAAATAAATATAACTAAATATCAGTTTCACATGTAAACATATCTAGCCCATCTCAGTTTTATAATACGTTTTAGGTAGTCGAGACCAAAAATGGAATAAAAWTCCCATCTTTCTATTCCCACCTGGTGTGAATGAGACATGTGGCTGCCTGCTGGACTAATCCTGCCCAAACTCATCACCAGAACCCAACATGGACCTGATGTTCTGTCACAGAACAAAAAGCTGTGAAGATCAACAGAGCTTTCTCCTTCAGCCCGTCAAAACGGCTGTTAAAATCTGAAGAAACTTTGCTCAGCTTTGTTTTTTTTACAGACAATTAACTTTTCTCATCATTTAAATTTTAAATACCAGAGAAAACAACAAGCAAGACTAATTTTAAAAAGTCTTACCTGGAGGTGCTGGAGGTCATCCTCCTGGAGGTTTTGGGACAAATTGTAAACCTTAAAGAAATAAAAATTAAAACTGTCAGAGGACTTTGCAACATTTWATATATCTGTGTTGAATTACCCAACATCCTTTGCTCTGGGAGTGCAGGGATAGATGCAGAGAGTTGCTCACTACAGTTATGACTAATGAGTTTTACATACGGATGTTAAAATGATCTTTACCAGGTTTTCAATTGATTTAAATCTCATGTGAAGTGTACAAAAACAAATGGTGTATGTAAATATGTATTACACAGGAACAAAGCTAATAAACGTGCACACTTGCTGCTTTTTCTCTTATATTATAAGAACGCAGCAGCCTGGAGCAGTTCRTCACGTAATCACAGTGTGACCACTTGTGATAACAGAATTATTAATATTGTTGGTATTTTGGCTGTTCATAATTTAGGTTCATCAAAAAGATTTTATTAACCACCGGTCGAAGCTGCGTTTAATTTTTTTTTTCTTTATATTAAAATTTTATCTCGGTTTATGTTAAAATTATWCCTAAGACCACATTTCAAACTGAGACTTCAAGAAGCAGTTTAAAGACACGAGAGTGACACAGGTCTATTTTTCTTAGTTGTTCACTAACAGTTGTCAACTTCATGGGAAAGTTGTGTGATTTTAGGTCCACACCTGATTTATTGTATTGAGGTCTGGGGAAAAGCGTGTCGGATAATTACAAATCCTGTTTTTTTATTACAAAAAACATCTGTGAGAATTATTACTGAAAACATTGTCGTCACCCATCAAATTCATTATTTTGTAAATTGAAAATATTGAAGTAATATTGATGTGGTTGATTATAATATTCTACAGGTTATGTATAAGGCTCAGAAACATACATTACCTTTAAACATACAATTAATATTTTGTTAAGAGAAAGAGTTGTTATAACCTTAAAGG